GGATATCAACCATATTTGACTGGAAGCATCCCTAGGTGGTGGCGTTTCAAAATTGTACAAATGATGGGGCTGACCCCCAGGGGGCTGAGGGGCGGGGCAAAAAGGGGACAATTTGGCTATACTGCTTTCAGCGACATCTTCTCTGGAACCGAGAGATGGATATCAATCATATTTGACTGAAAGCATCCCTAGGTGGTGGAGATTCAAAATTGTACAAATGGTTGGGCTGACCCCCCAGTGGAAACCCTGCAGGTAGGGTGTAAGAATTGTACCTGCTGCCCCCAATTGCATGAGCGTAAGAGGCGACTAAATTTGGGACCTTATCTCTTCTCTCCTTTCTAAATAACTTTCTTCTTCCTAATGTCTCCCTTGACAATGCCTCGCTTTTGGCCATTTGTTGAGCGTTCGCCCATGTGAGGAAGGCTTTGGGTTCTGTCCCCTGGCATAGACATACCAAAGTCTTTAAAAATGGTAGTTTCTACTCCTGCTTAACGCTCAGCAAATTAGGAGTGGGACGACTGGTTCACCCGTTGTCAGTATAATGTGACCGGGTTGGGCGTCCTGCTGGGTGTCTTCGGCAGTATGTTTCAGTGAGGTAGCACTATAAAGTCGGCAGCAGTTCCGAGCTATCACAAGGAGACAAACACGAACATATCGCAGCCTCCCAAAATACACACACATACACTACACGCATGCATCTTGCACACAGGGGAGGCCGTCCTTAAATGACCTTAGCTGTTAATAGGACGTTAAACAAAATCAAACAAACAAACAAAAATGACCCCCAGGGGGCTGAAGGGCGGGGCAAAAAGGAGTCAATTTGGCTATATTGCTTAAAGCGACTTCTTCTCTGGAACTAAGAAGTGGATATCAACCCTATTTGACTGGAAGAATCCCTAGGTGGTGGGGATTCAAAATTATACAAATGGTGGGGCTGAGGGCGGGGCCAAAAAGGGGGCAATTTGGCTATATTGCTATAAACGACTTCTACTGTAGAACTATACCATGGATATTGATCATATTTGGTCGGAAGCATCCCTAGGTCGAAGGGATTCAAAATTGTACAAATGGTGGGGCTGACCCCCCGGGCTAGGGGGTGGGGCCAAAAAAAGTGTATTACTTGGAAATGGTTGAGATCCCCACCATATAACCATGGTATACAATTGCTGAGTATAAAGAGAAGAATTTCTTGCACATTTGCTTCCGGGATGGCTATAGGGTCTGGCCCCACCCTTGGAGGCATAGTCCCTGGGCCATACCTTTTAAACTGTTGAGATCCCCACCCCAAAACTATATATACAAATGCTGGGCATAAAAAGACGAATGCAGTCATGATATCAGAAAGACCCTGGGGTCTGACCGAACCCCTAGGGACCTAGTTTGTTAGTCACAGCTTGGAAACAGTTGAGAGCCCCACCCTATAACGGTATATACAATTGCTGAGTATAAAGAGATGATTGCACATATGCTTCCAGGATGGCCTTGGGGACTGCCCCACCCTTGGAGACTTAACCCCTGGGTCATAACTTCGAAATAGATTTGGATTCCTATCCCAAAACTAAATATACAATTGTTGGGCATAAAAAGACGAATGCAGTCATGATATTAGAATTGACCCCAGGGTCTGCCCCACCCTTGCAGACTTAACCCCTGGGTCATAACTTTGAAATGGTTGAGATCCCCACCCCAAAACTATATATACAAATGCTGGACAAAAAATAAATACTGTAGGACTCAGGTGACCGTTAAGGCCCATGGGCCTCTTGTTTTTTAATCTGATATGTTTCCTTTTCAAAGAACGTTCAAGACGGATTCGCTCAATAATACCTTATTTAATTTAAGGGGGGCGGGGGGGGGGGGTAATATTATGTTTAAATAGGTACTTTTATTTACCAAACTTTTGATGAACTGTAAAGTCAAAGAATTAATTGTTGAATATTCTAAAAAAAAGTAAGTTTTGTACATTGAAAAATAGGTACAAGATTTGTTTCTTATCTTTATATTTGTATCCCTATCTTTATATTTGTATCCCTTAGTTTTATCTCCATTTAATATAATTCAAAGAAGAAATATTTTAAAAGGCTGCTTATGTTACATAAAGAGAACGCTTACAGTACATGAAAAACAAAATATCACAGTCCCTTTTATGGTAAGAGAAAATGTTTAAATAAAATGAACAGTGTTTTTATTTCCTCAAAAACTGTATTAATACTGCTGGCAGTTAATTTGATAAGAGATTTATAGAACAGCATTTTAATTTTGGCCGTTTTTCCTTAATAACAACAAATCCGGAGCCGTATCAGCTAAATGGCCTGGGGAGAACCCTGGGTACAATGTAGCCATTGAGTGTTTGGGAACTGCCTTAATATTTATTGGAAAGATAAACGAGATCAAATCTGGACATGTTTAGAACTTTACATGTGTATTACAAGATGATAAAAAATGTAGTATTGAAATGGTATACATTTATATATAACAAGAAAAGAAATGGGCAAATGTAATTTCTTTTTATAATGCCATAACAGTCTTGAGATAGCAGCTCCTGTAGCAGAGTGAATGTTATTTTGTCTGAAATGTACAAATTTAATGTAGGGATTTTTCTTTCATACAGTACGTCCTACAAAGAGTCTCTTGGGAAATACATTTGTTAGCCCGAGTTTCCCCTGGCCCTAACACCAGACTTAGACTTTTTGACATAAAGATGTCTGGGGTGGCGCACAGCAGACATCTATATGTCAAAAAGTCTAAGTGTCTGGTGTTAGGGCCTGAGGAAACTATACACTTGTATGCGTACTTCAGTTGATGCTTTCTTCTATACGCGAGCATGTCCACATAGATTCCATTAATGGAAAGATTATCTATTTACCTCTGTCACTGCGCCGATAGAAATGTCAACAACGTCTGTTTTAAACCTTTACGGAACAATTTTAAACAACGGGGTACGGATGTCTGAAAGACATAAAATTAACAAAAAACGTACTATTTTAATAAAACCAAGGTTTCCTATTCTTATGAATAACTTTTAAGATTCTACCATCCTCTAAATAAACAAACATCTGTGCTTGGATATCTCTATCAAATCACCGCCTATGCACTCAAAATGTGTTTAAATAACTGCACTTACCGAGTAGTTTTTAAATCACCGCTTTACACACTCAGCAGTTTCTAATCTTTATTAAATAATTTGTTTGTTTGGGGTTTAATGTCCTCTCAACAGCCAGGATCATATGAGGACGGGTGCCTGGGGAGATACAACAGTCAGGGTCATATGAGGACGGGTACCTAGGGAGACACAACAGCCAGGGTCATATGATGACGGGTGCCTAGGGAGACACAACAGCTAGGTTCACATGGGGACGGGTGCCTGGGGAGACGCAACAGCCAGGGTCATATGAGGACGGGTGCCTAGGGAGACACAACAGCCAGGGTCATATGAGGACGGGTACCTAGGGAGACACAACAGCCAGGGTCATATATGAAGACGGGTGCCTAGGGAGACACGATAGCCATGGTCATATGAGGACGGATGCCGAGGGAGACACACCAGCTAGGGTCATATGATGACGGGTGCCTAGCGAAACACAACAGCCACGGTCATACGAGGATGGGTTCCTAGGGAGACAACGGCAAGTGACATATGAGGACGGGTGCCTAGGGAGACACAACAGTTAGGGTCATATGAGGACAGGTACCTAGGGAGACACATAACCAGGGTCATATGAGGATGGGTGGCTAGGGAGACACAACAGCCAGGTCGTATGATGACGGGTACCTAGGGAGACAAAACAGCCAGGGTTATATGCGGACGGGTGCCTAGGGAGATACAACAGCCAGGGTCATATGAGGACGGATGCCTAGGGAGAAACAACAGCCAGGGTCATATGAGGACGGGTGCCTAGGGAGACACAACAGACAAGGTCATATGAGGACGGGTGTCCAGAGAGNATATGAGGATGGGTGGCTAGGGAGACACAACAGCCAGGGTCATATGAGGACGGGTACCTAGGGAGACACAACAGCCAGGGTCATATGCGGACGGGTGCCTAGGGAGATACAATAGCAAGGGTCATATGAGGACGGATGCCTAGGGAGAAACAACAACCAGGGTCATATTAGGACGGTTGCCGAGGGAGACACAACAGCCAGGGTCATATGAAGACGGGTATCTAGGGAGACACAACAGCTAGGGTCAAATGAGGACGGGTGTCAAGGGAGACACCACCGGAAACAGAACGTATATTACGTACATGTGCTGGACACAATAATAGCAATATGATGTGTATATATACTATATACACGTAATAGTACCATATAGTACATGTATATGCACATCATATTAATATTAGTGTGTCCAGCACCTGTGTCATAATGTAGATGAAAAAAGAAAGACAGAGAAGATAGTTTACTGTTTGCCTGCATGGATGGCACGCAAGGGGAGGTAACCAGAGTACTCAGAGAAAACTCGCGTAAGTGCTCGGGACTTTTCACGTCTTATCGGGAAATCGAACCCAGACCATATGTATGGCCGGCGATTGCGCTATCCACTGCGCATGCACCGCCCAACGTCGAACATCAATGCCACAGTGGGTCGCACTTGCCCTACCTCTAACTGGCAGTATAACTAGAATAGGAATTACAATTACAACATGCATTTGCTACATTGTAAATATCGGTAACATAGGATTTCATTGTTTAGATTAAAATGGCAATTATAAATAAATAAATTTTCAACGTTTCATCAAAAATCTGGCTTGTTGATCTTTAATATATCAACATTATTTGTTCCTATTTACATAATTATATTTCGACTGTAGTCAGACACATATGATTCCAGTTGTTTGTGTTTGAGATCTTCGAATACACACTGCCTATGTACACCCGTGTAACCGCGTCGAATGATCAATTGCATTGTTTTATAAATCACGTGTCTATTTAAAGCCGTACTTTGGTCATTGTCTGTGTTTGACGTATAAAACATCTTATAACAACCTTAACTGTTTTATTGTGTCAAAATACATACGCGTAGTAAGCAAATATCGTGATATTGTTTTAAAAGATGAACGTATAACGCGAGATTGTGGGGTACTATTTCAGCAGGTAAGTTTGTATGTTAAAGGTTTTCTACGTAAAATTAATCAGGACAACGTATAAACGTTATACATTGTAACGACATTGTCCTGAACAGGCGACAAACATTTAAATTCCATCTGAGATTGAAGCTTTCCGCCATTTTGAATTTGACTACCGATATTCCGTAGTATAAATTTATTGGATATTCTTCAGTACTATCATATATTATTACAGATGATCTATGTATAAGACAAACACTGAAACTGGATTCCTAGCTTGATAATATCAACTCTTCCAGGTAAATACTGATATAGGTAGTGATATGACACACAATATACCAGTAGTATGTACACAATACAGCAGAGCATGTAAATCGTCAGTGTGAGAATTTCTTTTTCCGTATTTGGTTTTGTTTTTTTCGGGGAGGGGTGAGAAACTCTAGGTGATTGTTTATCTTATGTCGTTTTGCCATTGGTGAGAGTTGACTTATATCATTCTTTTCTCTAACACTGTCCACCATAAAAGGAAATCGCACCCCGTAAAACATGTGGAGAGTAAGAGAAAGTATTCTACCCTTAATATTATCCACAACTTCATTATTCTCCTTCAAGTCAGAGAGAAATAAGCCAACTAAAATAATATGAAGTTAAAAGTATACATTAAATGAATATTTAAGGCTTTGGATATCTACACAGTTGACTTTGAATCATAAGCGAATATCTATACCTAACTAGGATTTATGACAAATATTTCATAACATTGGGAGCCTGATATCATATATAAAAATATACGGTGTTTATTTACACAGGGGTATTTTTTTCTATGATTTGACATTCAATATTATTGTCGGAGAAGAAAGCAAGAAAGCGTGTGAGTATAATTGAATTGGCAAAAATGTATTGGGGGCAATAATACGTTTTTTGTTTTTAATCAGTATTTTTCGCAGTACATTTACATTCTAAAAAACAAAATGGATGCCAATGATATCGATGTTGTCTAATAGTGATGTCCTATGAAACAGGTGACAATATGTGAGAGGGATTCAGATGACAACCTGATCGTCTCGTGGTAGCCATGGCAACGTGTCTTACAATTTCCGGTGATATATCTCGTGTGATCCTGATTATTATCAACGCATCAGGACTGGTATGTATAATAGAGAAGTAGCTTAAGGGGGCGGTCTACAGCTTACTGGTGGAAAGTATTAAAGCCACTCTGTAGCACTTTACGGTACATAGATATACAATTTTATACAATCAATACAATTACATGTAGCAAATACTTAATCAATACAATTTTGAGGAATTCGCAGGAGCTACCTTATCAGGCGCTAACTACTAGTCCTATGCCACCTGGCTAATATCTCCGTATATATGTGTGCTTGTATATTTCAGGCATTCGCATTATTCCTGATAGCGTTCGCGAGTAACCTTCGTGTCAATCCTGACAACAGTTTCGGCACTGACTACGAGAGTACGGAGAAGGCCTTGTTGGTGTCCGTTGTGTCCAAACACCCCCCCGACAATGACACGTCGGCCATCAGTCAGTGGCACCTCAAGGACGCCGACGTCTTTAATACGTTTTTCCTGGCCATGTGGCTCGGAGGGGGGTTGCTCCTTATCGTTTCCGTAGTTGGCCTCATCATGGCAGCAAAGAAAAGTAGTGGAGGGTTGCTCGTGGTAGGTATCATTTCCGACAATGATTTGAAAAACCTCATGCCATCCCTGCCTCAATATATAATTCTTACGCTTGTAAGACGTTTTAAATAGATTTTAATAGCAAACACATATATGAAAAACGCGTCAAAAACTAGATGTCTGGTGTTTGTAGAACGTTTTAAACGAGAGTTTCAAAAAAAATGACAAATTTCGCGACCATTTTCAAAATGTGAATTTCTTGCGTTTCAAGGTTAGGGTAACTTAAAGTACTTTTCTGATTTAAAGTTTAAGAAAATTTACTTCCATATAATTTAAAAAGAAATATTTTTTTTATGAATTCTGCAAACATTCATTCATATTCACACTTGGAAGATATTGTATGATTTTGTTCTGCAAATAGTCAAAACAAACAAAAACACCTAACAAATATATCATTAATCTATTATTTTCCATTTTCTGCTATTTTTTCAAAAATACATACAAGAAAGAATGTTTAGTTACCGGAATATTTTGACTTCTCGGAGGAGTACAATCTTAAGGTGTTATATCGTCTTTGTGTTTACAGCACGGAGGATTCCTGTTCATTCTTTTGATTTGTGAGATTGCCTTATATGGCATGCTCTCCAACAGCACTGTAAGTAACTTCTTATAATTATCATTAACACAGAAATGTTTCACCCTGATCGTCCTTTACTACTTTCGCAGACGACAATGTAGCCCATGAAATCGGACTAAAAAACGTTGTCCTAATTCAGTTCTATAAATAGCTCATTTTTCATTGGTAGAATAGTTTTGCGGAACAAATTGCTTTCCAGCCTTCATTCGTTACAATCTTTATTCGCACTGCAGTGTACATTTTGCCTCTCACATGTATTTACTTATGTTGTATGGTGTGTATTTATATTCGATATCATGATAAATTCACCCATTTTACGGAGAGCGAAAATGCTAGAGTTCAACTGCGGCAAAAAAAATAATTGTTACACGATAGTTATACACGATAGTTATTAAACCTTTACCTTCCACGTTCATCGTTTGATGATAGATTTACAAACATTTACGTGCCTAATATATTATTCTTAGTTTTACAGAACCCTATCTGTAGTTTAAAGGGGCAACAAATCAGTAACATGTACAGGTCGGTAACAGTTCCAAATGTGATGACAAATGATGAAATATTATTGTGTACAGGTCGCTGGCAATCTGAAGGATTCGGTACCTCTCAAATCCTCTATCCAGGGCTCTATGTACACCGGCTTCAAGGATTATGGCGGAATCTATGGGACGGACGCTAATAGTATTGGCTGGTCTGTCATTATGCTGAAGGTATTTCAACCATGTCTTTCTATTCCAATATTTGTCTTTTGTGACTGTCCACTAATTCCTGACTACGTGTCTTTCTAGTCCGACATTGGCCTTTTGTGATTGTCGATCCACTCCTGACAGTAGTCTCAGTCTTCTTATACCTTTACTCTGCGTTACAGTTCGTGTGTAAGGGATACACATTTTATAACATCTCTACTATCTATTACAGTACGTGTGTAAGGGATACACATTTTATAACATCTCTACTATCTGTTACAGTACGTGTATAGAGATACACATTTTATAACATCTCTATTATCTGTTACAGTACGTGTATAGAGATACACATTTTATAACATCTCTATTATCTGTTACAGTACGTTTATAGAGATACACATTTTATAACATCAAACCCAGAGTACTAAAAGAGCTTGCAACAGAAATAGCCCCGATATTAACCCTAATATTTAATCAGTCTCTGGAAACAGGTATAGTGCCTACAGACTGGAAATCTGCAAATGTATCACCTGCTTATAAAAAGGGTCCAAAATTTCACCCAGAAAACTACAGGCCCATATCTCTGACCTGTATCTGTAGCAAAATTATGGAACACATTGTGGTCTCAACTATCATGACCCATGCCGATACCCATAACATATTGTAT